CTATAAAGTCCATGACTCCTTATTCATGACATTACATGCTGATGGTATTTATAGTAGCACCAGATGGTTACATCTAACACTTTATAATCTTTAGAAGGTTGGTGCAATCTACAACTGTGAGGGGGAGATATTCCACAGATGTAAAGGGGCTACCTCCAGAATATTTACCCACCTTCCTGACCAGGCCATTGTTTGCAATACAGTGCTGTGTTATTTTAACCTACAATTGTAAGGTCATGCAACGCTGTACATAAATGAAATTTGTCATTTTTGTTCCCCACAAATAGAGCTTTCTTTTGTTAGTATTTGATCACTTCTATGGTTTTTTTAATTGTTTGCACTATAAACAAAAAAAGGCAGACTATTTTGAAAAAAAAAAGCCCAATAATTTTTTACTTTTTGCTATAAAACATATCCAATAAAAAAAAATTTAAAAAATCTAATTTCATAAATTTAGGCCAAAATGTATTCTGCTACATGTCTATGCTAAAAAAAATAATACTAATAATTGTATATTAATTGGCTTATATGAAAGTTATAGCGTCTACAAATGGAGGTATATATACACTGGATTTTTTTTTTTTATACTAGTAATGGCGGCGACAGCAACTTATAGCGGGACTGCAACGGGCATTCTGACACTGGGTGGGAACTGCCACTGACATCCCCAGTGGCACTAATACAGTGATCAGGAAGAAGTTAACATCTGGGGCGATCAAAGGGTTAACTGTGTGCTGTGGGTGTTTTATATTGTGTGCTGTTTTACTTGGGAGACATGCTGCCTTGTATCTCTCTGCTGTGCAGAGAAATACAAAGTAGCATGTCCTTGCTGGCAGGAGAGAGACCCGTGTTGTTTACACACAGGTCTCTCTCCTGTGAGCTTTACCAACGATCACCAAGTCCCGGCCGGGAATCACCGGCTGAGACCCAGTAATTGACATCCCCAGCCGCCAATAGCAGCACGGGTAGGGCGACGCGCACCCCTTATCTGGAAATGTAAATCACGTATAGATACGTGATTTTGCGCAGTCATGCCTCCCTGTAGCAGTGCTTGCGGATGGCAAGCGGTTAATTGTGCAGAAGGAGGAACTAACATAATTAACAATGTTAAGGGACCAAAAGTAATGGGACAATTGGCTTCTCAGCTGTTCCATGGCCAGGTGTGTGTTATTCCCTCATTATCTCAACTACAATGAGCAGATAAAAGGTCCAGAGTTCATTTCAAGTGTGCTATTTGCATTTGGAATCTGTTGCTGTCAACTCTCAAGATGAGATCCAAAGAGCTGTCACTATCAGTGAAGCAAGCCATCATTAGGCTGAAAAAACAAAACAAATCCATCAGAGAGATAGCAAAAACATTAGGCGTGGCCAAAACAACTGTTTGGAACATTCTTAAAAAGAAGGAACTCACCGGTGAGCTCAGCAACACCAAAAGACCCGGAAGACCACGGAAAACAACTGTGGTGGATGACCGAAGAATTCTTTCCCTGGTGAAGAAAACACCCTTCACAACAGTTGGCCAGATCAAGAACACTCTCCAGGAGGTAGGTGTATGCGTGTCAAAGTCAACAATCAAGAGAAGACTTCACCAGAGTGAATGCAGAGGGTTCACCACAAGATGTAAACCATTGGTGAGCCTCAAAAACAGGAAGGCCAGATTAGAGTTTGCCAAACGCCATCTAAAAAAGCCTTCACAGTTCTGGAACAACATCCTATGGACAGATGAGACCAAGATCAAATTGTACCAGAGTGATGGGAAGAGAAGAGTATGGAGAAGGAAAGGAACTGCTCATGATCCTAAGCATACCACCTCATCAGTGAAGCATGGTGGTGGTAGTGTCATGGCGTGGGCATGTATGGCTGCCAATGGAACTGGTTCTCTTGTATTTATTGATGATGTGACTGCTGACAAAAGCAGCAGGATGGATTCTGAAGTGTTTCGGGCAATATTATCTGCTCATATTCAGCCAAATGCTTCACAACTCATTGGACGCCGCTTCACAGTGCAGATGGACAATGACCCAAAGCATACTGCAAAAGCAACCAAAGAGTTTTTTAAGGGAAAGAAGAGGAATGTTATGCAATGGCCAAGTCAATCACCTGACCTGAATCCGATCGAGCATGCATTTCACTTGCTGAAGACAAAACTGAAGGGAAAATGCCCCAAGAACAAGCAGGAACTGAAGACAGTTGCAGTAGAGGCCTGGCAGAGCAACACCAGGGATGAAACCCAGCGTCTGGTGATGTCTATGCGTTCCAGACTTCAGGCTGTAATTGACTGCAAAGGATTTGCAACCAAGTATTAAAAAGTGAAAGTTTGATTTATGATTATTCTGTCCCATTACTTTTGGTCCCTTAACAAATGGGAGGCACATATGCAAACTGTTGTAATTCCTACACCGTTCACCTGATTTGGTTGTAAATACCCTCAAATTAAAGCTGACAGTCTGCAGTTAAAGCACGTCTTGTTCGTTTCATTTCAAATCCATTGTGTTGGTGTATAGAGCCAAAAATTTTAGAATTGTGTTGATGTCCCAATATTTATGGACCTGACTATATATTACAACATATTTTCATGTCAATGTTGTTGCTTTAAATTTGTAAAAAGACCCAGACTGCAGTATAAGGCCTCAAGCACACTGACCATTTTTACAGCTGCTCTTAGCGGCGTTTTGCGCTTTTTTTTCCCTGCCTCTAAACTGCCCTGCATGTTATCTTATGTGTCCATACACATATAGGCTCTTAGCAGCATTCAGTGTCAAGAGTTTACAGGAAGAAAAAAAAATGCTGCCAGTGTGTCCAGGAGCAGCAGAGTTTTGGACAGAAAAAGACATCTGATGCATGCAAAGGCGTGGTAACGCTAGGTGCATTTAGAGCTTGAGCATGAATTCATTTTATTGGCCAGAATAAATTATTTATTCTGTTCAATAAAATTAATGCCTCAAAGCTTGATGAAGGTAAACGCAGCTAAACGTGTTATGTGCTTTTACAAGTGTCAGGCATTTTTTTTTGCCAACGTGCTGCTGCCAAGTGGAACACCTCTAGGAGAAGATGTCTAGTGTGCATGAGGTCTAACACAGATGTGAACCATGTCTTTAAGAACTCATGTTAAATGGTTTTTCATTCTTATTTTTGTTAATTTGCTTATTTAATCTCTGAAAAATGCTAAATGATTTAAAATTCTTTCTTTTTTGATGTCATGTATTTGCAACTCACCTATTTCAAGACTGGGGACTGCATGCTCAAGATATACCTACAGTGCTACCTGCTGGTTAAACTGATCAATTACAGTGCAAGTCAATTTGGGGTTTATTTATAAAAGCAGAGAATGTGACGATTTCATAGTCTCTGGTGGAGAACCACCCTAGAGCAAGTGTTTTAAATGGGAGTGATCAATTCTTCACCATTGAATATTTGTGAATGTCACATTCTCTGCTTTATAAATAGACCCTAAGGGTGAGATTTACTAAAACTGGAGTGCGCAGATTCTGGTGCAGCTGTGTATCGTAACCAATCAGCTTCCAGGTTTTATTGTCAGAGCTAAAATGAACAAGCTGAAGTTAGAAGGTTAAAATGCACAGCTGCACCAGATTCTGTGAGCACCAGTTATAGTAACCCTAGGTTCAAATGTGTGCGGGTGGTGCTGCTGCGGATCTGCACAAAAATCCATGCAGCCACAACACCAACACAGAGAAATGTGGACCCGCGGGTGCCATTAGTTTTAATGGCACGACGCCCGCACTGGAAAACACAACCGTACTGGGAACCGTGTTTTCGGAAGAAGTACAGGGACTACTTCCCTGCCTGTCACGGGCATGGAAGTCCATTCAAATGAATGGGCTTTCGTGCCCGTGCAAAATGTAGCCCGCACGGCTGCATAGATGTGAACCGGAGGTAAATATCCCGCTGACCCTCGGTTCACACTAGCCTGCAGGCTGCTCCCACCTGTTCCCGTGCTCACAACCACCTGCAGCCGAGATGAGCAAGACTGCCATTCATTCTGAATGGCACCCCCCCCACGCATCTCAGCCCTCAGAATGATTGCAAGAACTGCAGGGTTCTAACAGGTTTCCAGCAGGAAGCGTGGCACAGCAGTCCATTCAAAGGAATGGGCTCCCTTGCCCAAGTAAACGCGGGCCACACAGCTTGCAATAGTATGAACACAGGACAAGTGTCCTTGTATCCATTTTAGTTAATCAGGGCCTGCATGGCATCTGAATATTTTGGGCAGTCTCGAAATCATGAAATCCCTTTAAAGAAATTTGGTCTTGAACATCTTAAAATTGCAAAGATTTAGGATGTACTCCAGGCAGACAAAAATTACTGCAGCTCTGCATTTATTTATACATCAATAAAGGGGATCATTTTTGGACCTAGCACAAGAAACTGAATTTCACCTGGTATCAGCCTCTCAAAATCTCCTGTATAACAGTTTTTGCCGCAGTGCCCATATGCTAAGATGAAACTAGCTTGACAGAAAGTAAGAGAAGGGTGACACTGATGGGCTAATAGGGCCACCTACTCATCACATTTCAACTAGTTCATTTGGACCTGGCCAAAATTGGCATAGTGTGTGGCCAGCTTGAGTCATCTGCCCTGCCAGACAAGCCCATGTTGTATGGAAGAGCTGTGTAAATTTGAGGACTGGGCTAGCAGAAACAGAAAACCGTTGACAGCTCTCATATATGTTTTTATCTATGTATTTAGCTTTTTGCCTGGAGTTTAGATTTAAAAAATGGAAGATGCACTAACATAGTTACATAGGTACATAGTTAGTCTGGTTGAAGAAAAAAAAAAAAGACATAAGTCCATCTAATTCAATCCAGATATATAATAAAAGATCGTTATAAATTATAATTAACCAAATATAATTCCCTGGTTAAATGTCAAAAGTAAAAGAAAGCCATCAAGATTTTTCTGTTTCACAATGTTAATCTTGAAGGGGAATGGCCTTGTGGATGGGGAATCATTTCACATTTGCAAGCAAGAACAGCACTTACTCTCCAGATCTGATATGATGAGGTTGTCATGTAGTTTCACAGCCCTGTGTTGCTCTACTTCATCTTCCAGTTCAAAAATGGTCTCCTTCATGTCACTTCGTTCTGTCTCCTTTTCTTCCAATTCAGTCCTCACCTTATCAAGTGCCATGGTTAGTTCTGCCACCTGTTTTTGTGCTTCTTCACGGAATGCTCTATATTCATCTTCCAGCTAAAGAAGTTAAGAAAAAGTCAGGAGCAAATAGCAAACAGGTACTACACCACATCTTGCAAAATAAAACGGTTTACATAGAGAGATAAATGCACCCCTCGATTTCATAGAACATGTAACATAATATAATGTTTATACCACCCAGCATCAACATTCTTACCTTATCAAATGCGTCTTGCATACGTCTGAGATCAGTCTGTATATGCAGCAACTCCTCCTGCAAGTTCCCTGCCAGAGTTTCTGCTTTATCTTTATCAGAACGCACACTTTCCAGTAGGTTCTGGATGTGAGTTGCATCATCAGAGCTGTGAATAGAGTATAGTTCTGCAACTCGTTGCTTCTCTTGCTCTAACTGGGACTTAAGACGTGTACATTCAGCCTGTTCGGCATTGAGGGATGCTTTATACTCGTCTAGAGTGACTGCCAATGCCTGCTTTGCAAGTTGCTCAGCTTCAGCAATGCGCTCCATGTGGTGGTTCCGCTCCTTAAGTGCTCGAATCACATCTTGAGCGTCCTTGTTATCTTGCTCTGCCATCTTAAGAGTGTTGCTCAGGTGTTGCTGGACACCCAACAACTGCTCTCGCTCAAAGCGACTACTGTCTACTAATTCCATGTATCTCTGCTCAAGCTCTAAGTAACGGCTACTTTTGAGGTCCTCATCCAAGGAGTACTGCACATGGTGCTCATCGAGAAGTGCTCGTGCATACTCCAACTGGCGGCTGAACAGTTCCAACTTGTCACTCTGCTGGCAAAGAGAGTCCATCAAGATGACCTTCTCTTCACCCAGCCTTTCATTTTCACTATTTAGCTCCTGTGTAATCTGCTGCAAGTCAGCCAGCTCCTGAAGAGTAGCTTGCAGCTCCTCAGCTGTGCTATGTTGATTTTCCTCCATTTGGTGAATTCGCTCTGTTAGACAAGCCACTGACACCTCACTCACATTGCCACTGCTACCTTTGCGTGATCGTTCAGTGCTTGGCAGGCCTTCTGATTCAGAGGAAGAAGATGGGGCATCCAAAGCATCATCACTAGAGGTGAGTGGCTGGTAAACCTCACTGCATTCACTATCTAAATTATCCATAGAACTACTCCTCCTTTCACCAGTCAGGGTGCTTTCATCCTGGCTTAAGAGGTCCTCCATAGATCCAGGAGCAGAACCCTCCACTGATGAAGCCAATGTGCCTCCTCCACAGTCACTGTGGCTGCCAGCAGCCATATCCATGGATTGGTAACAGTAAAGCTTCTCTGTAACATCACCTTGTTGACCCAAGGAAAAGCCCAATGCATTTAGCCGATCCTTAAGCATTCTGTTCTCACTTTTCAACTGCTGCAGTTCTTCCCGCACTACAGCATTCTGCTCTTGTAACTGCATTACTGGAGGATCCTCGGGACTCTTGTCAATGATGTCATGACCAAGCTGTGCTTTGATGTCCCTTAGTTCAGTACGAAGAAGCAAAATCTCAGCATCTTTATTTTTGGCCAGACTAAGCAGGTCCTTCACCTTGGATTCAAGAGCAACACGATCATTGATCTGGTTATCTGATTTGGATTTGCTCATACGAAGGACATCTGACTCCGCACGAGCTCGAGATCGTTTGGTTGAGGCAGTCACTTCCCCTGTGTTAACACCAGATCCTTGTGGTTTTTTGCTAGCATTCAGACGAGATCTGTCTCTGACTCTTTCTCGAGAAGATCCTGCTTCCTTCGCCCCAGATGAGGCACTTCTTTTACTAATGGAGTTACTACCTGTGTGGAGCAAACACAGCAATACTAAAGCACAAAACGACACACTGGAGTTTAACTAAATTATTAAACAAAACAAATTAGCATATTTAAAGTTAAACTGTGCTCAGACTATACAGTATTTACATATTCCTAACAGGCAGTATAAGTGCCTTAAAACAAGCCCCAATTAACCTCTGTAGCTAAATGCACTGTGGATAGATTCATTGTCAGCTTTCAACAGAGGCACTGAAATCACAGCTCCACTCTTCTTTTCTATGAAGGCTAGAAACCTGCCAGTCTTCTAACGTAAATATACCTGTCTTTACAGTCTTCATTCTGTTCTTTGAGAATGAATTACTTCAGAGTACATGCAGCTAGAAAGGTCAGTTAAGGCTTGTTTTAAAGCTATGTTACTGCTTGTTAAGAATATATAAATAATTTAATGTCTATAGTCTAGGCACAGGTTTACATTATAGACTGCAAAACTTAAAGCATGCACTCAGCCTAAACTTCCATTTTGCCCTAAATATACCCACACTACTATCTGCTAGTCCACAGGTCATGCTGCATTATACCTAATTTGCATGTAATCAGACCTTGTTGCAGAGACAGTTGTTCTGGTGGAGAGAAAAATAAGAGTTCACAATGGCTGTGTAAAATGTTTGACTTTACACAGCACCTAATTAGCATGTTTGGCTGGGGTGTTGATCAGCCAAACAGATTTAGCTATTTGCTTGCTGCCATTGTCCTGTGCCCAAATAGGAAGTACAATTTACATGTATACTTAATTTTAACATGACACATCTCTAATAGGACCGCTACAAACAAACATTTAACACGGTAATTTAAGTACAACTTTGGCTGATCTGTAACAAGTTCCACTAATACATCAACATGCGAAAACAGTACCAAATAAACAACACCACAGAGCCTGACTCTCTACAGCTCTGAGGCTAGGTTCACACTCATGAGGAGTGGTGCATCACATGTGATTCGCACAGGAATCGCCCCGCATAAACGGGGTGCGATTCTGATGCGGTGCAAAATTTGCACAGAAAACGCTGCGAATTCCGGACCGCATCAGTGTGAACCCAGGCTTAATGCTGTAAATTGCCTATTAAATCTGAAGCCAATTTTATAGGTAATCAGGGTCTGAGGAAACCACTCTAGGATTTCATCATGTAAATATATTTACCTGCACTGCTTTTGGGCTTTCCATCTGTTCCACTCATTGTTGCCCCAGCACTCGGGTTTGTTGCAGCACTGCTTTTCTTTACCTTTACACTGTTGGTTGTGGGTGGTACACCGGCCATTCCAGACAGGAGATCATCGTTACTCTTAGCCTAAAAACAGATAATAGTCTGGTAAATATTACTGTATTAATAAAAAGAATGCCAGACTTCTAAACCTTACTCTAGTAAGGGCTTGTCCAATTCTAGTTCTCGAGGATTATTATTCAGGATTTAGGCACAAATACAATCCCACTTTCTCAGTGTATCTAAACCCAAAACTCTAATATACTGCAGCTGATCAGTAGTTAGATATAACCGTTGCATTATTTATTCCAGGCTTTTCCCCATTATCTTCACCTGGTGATCTGGCCAAAAAAAAAAGGTTTCCTGTCCTATCCTAAGATGGCAATGCTCACTCTCTGTACTGTATTTATGGAGCAGCTGCACTATCACCCTAGGCCTAAGGACTGATAAGCTGCAATATATTAAAGGTTTTCTGCTGAGTTTGGATATTAATTTATTTTTCTACTACGGTAGATGTAAACCATAACTGGATTATGTTCACTAAAGCATTGTGCATCCTCTAGCCTCCTGGCTTACTGACACAGTGATAACAGGGGAGGACGAGAGACATCATATACCACTAGCTCAATAGGTGGAGAAGAATGTCAATGGACTCAGCGTGGAACTTCTCCTAAGCCACACCCCTCTGATTGCTCCACCCACGGGGGGGGGGGCTAATCATGACGGTTGGTGGGGCAAAATGCATCAGAGGGGGGTGTGATGTAGGAGGAGATCCAAGGCTGCTCACATTCTTCTCCACCAGTTGAGCTAGTGATGTGCAGCAACTCTCTTCCCCTCATGCTTCACTGCTTTCTGGATCAAACACAAGCCAGCCAGCACCCTTACATTGGTGAGACACTGGATTTTTTACCAGCAGAGCGCCGTGAGTGGCACTATAAGTGGTTACAAGGTCATAACAGAGGAAAACATCTGCACAATAAATAGTGGCACAGCTGCTTTTGGTCTCAAGTAAATGTGCATGTGACAGGGTGACCATGCAGAACATCAAATGAGAGAAACGGCACAGCACCTTTTAACAGAAAGTGCCTGAACGAAGGACGTTCAAAGGGCAGGATCGTTTTCTTGAAAGCCGTAGATTTAAAAAGAATGGAAGTTGATTTTGAAATTATGTTAACATATAAATAGATCATATGAGAATTTATAGATTGGGTTTACATCTACTTTAATTAGAAAAATCCATCAACTGGAAACTTAAAAAGAACCAGTTTTATGTGGACTTAAACTTTGCAGACGTATGTATGAAATATTTTCATTTGCCTACTTATTTAGCTTTAGTTATTTTGCCTAAATTGTTCAGGCCTGACTCCTCAAAGCACCCAACAGATCATCAGCTACACTGGCCTCAGGTGACGGCTTACTTACAAGGGGCAAAATACAAGATATATCATCTAGGTCAACTGCAGTTTTAACAGTTTCAGGACCCTTTCACAAAGAGCAGATTCCATTCTGATCAGAAGGAGATCAGCTTACAAATCCACTGCTGATCGGAGCAGAGTGGGTGGATGACAGATCCATGTCTGCTCAGTATATGCAGAGAGGACACGGACAAAGCCCACTCTGCTCTATGAGCAGCTGGAACTCCACTGTCTGTTTACACCCAACTACCCTCCGATCCGTTCCAACTAAACGGAAGAGGACGGATCCCATTCATTTTTTTTTTTTTGTGGAGCTGATCGGACTTGGAGGTAGGCAGGTGTAAACAGATTCAAGTCACTTTACACCCGCCTGTCCATAGGGATGAATGGACCTTCCGATTAAGTCCGTCTGAAAATCTGACAGGTGAACCTAATCAGAACAGCCATGTAAAAGGGGTCTTAGACTAAACTAATATTGAGGTTTTTTTTTTTTTTTTTTTTTTTTTTTTTTAGGTTTGTTTCTATGTAAGGATTGTGTTAGACAGAACTTCCCTAATAAAACGAAAATTTCCCCTTTAGCTCTACTCCCCACAAACCACTAAACCAGTACAAAATACCTTTACTGTGCAAATAATTTATGACCAAAGATCATCTTACTTTTTCCAAAGTAGGAAATTGTGCTAACTCTGTCATGCTTGAAAATCTAGCATTAAGCACCTTAATGCATTGTTACAGTATGTGTCAATGTGCACATGCTCATGCGATTTACAACAGATCGCGGGAGTGCAAAGAAAGGCAACTTCCTGAGAATGCCTTTCTTGACTTCCTCCAAGAGACATGCAGACTGCTTAATTCATTATACTATCCGTCACATTGGTGCAGGGTGAATGGTGCACACAGATGTGAACAGGGCCCTAGTGGCAAGCCATGCAATACTTGAGGAAGGAAAGGAGGTGGAGGGGCTGTCAATTTAGCAACTCAGAAGCTAAAGCACGAAACCCAACTGAGCATTTTTACAGGCAGATTGGGACAATCCATCCAGGAGAGAAAATGAAAAAATACAAATAAAAACTAAAATATCTGCAAAACCTATACTGTGTTTAGATGAAGCTTAAAATGTGAAAATGTACTGAAGGAGGAATCCTACTTTAAAAAAAAAAAAAAAAAAAAAAAAAATAATATATATATATATATATATATATAAAAATTTTGACTTCCCAATAAAATAATTTTTTCAGATTACAGGACATAGACTTTTTAAAATTATTATTAATGGGTTACATGCAGCTACCTTCAGATGATTGGACACTGGTTAAAAAAAAAAAAAAAAAGTTTGCAGAGACATCCACCTATATAACCCAAGCATTCCCAGCTTATCTCCATTTTGTAGCAAGCAACAGAGCAATCATAAGTACAGAGGGGAGGGTCCTGTGTCCTTTACTACACTCCAGAATACAGATTTTACTTCTTTAAGACTACAAATGAGATGGCCAAATGCAGTCCAACTGAGGGATGGGCAACACCACAAAAAATGTCAAGAGGCTCACATAACAAACAGGCCAAGAAGGACTCAATGAGCAGCTTCCAGCTGACACAGGAATCAAAGGAGGCTTGAGCATCCACCCGATAAAACTTAATTGTGAGAACAAAAGCCCCGGTGGCAGCCTTGCACGCCTCAAAACAGATGCCTGATGCCTAAATGCCCATGAAACACTAACAGACATAGAAAAATGTGTTTTAAACAGGAAAACTTATGTACCCTATCCTTCAGACTATAGGACTTAATGAGAATTTCTGATTCACCTAGCAATGGTGGAATGAGAGATTGAGAGACCCTTTTGTAAACCCTCAGGAAGCAGAAAAAGTGAAACAGATTTCCTAAAAGCAGAATTAGCCAAGAGCTAAACTCTTAGTGAACATACCACATCAAGACAGTGGAGAAAAATTTCCCTAGGATGCTTTGGAGCAGGACATAAGTAAAGGTGAAAGGCAGAAACACCTTCAATAGATAGGAGGCCTTAGGCCTCAAGAAAACCTTGTCCTTGTGCAACACTAAGGACTCCTTACAGGATAAGGCTTCTAACTCGGAAACTCCTCTTGCAGAGGTGATAACTAGAGATGCACCAATAACCTTTTTTGATTGGCGAGTACCAGTACTGATACTTTCGGTCAAGTACTCAACGATACTGAATACCAATAATTTGCGGTGCAATTTGCATCCGTACAAAATTTATGGACGAAAATTGCACCACAAAGAATAGCATGCGAATTGAACAGGAATGTGATTCCTGTCCGAATCGCATGTGGTTTCCCCACTGCTCCTGTGTGAACCCAGGCTTGTCATAAGAAACCTCCCTGCACAGATCTCATGCTGTCACAGAAGGAAAAGCCGCTTCATAGGTTTGGGGATTTTAAATCCCAGCAGCTTTCTCCTGTGCTTGCAGGGATGACAGTACAGACTAGAAGGTGTCTGACTGGTAAGCACCGTGATGGTGCTGATCAATCAAAAGCCATCTAGCCCATACTGTCAAATCACATGCTATTCTTTGCAGTACAATTTGAGTGCAAATTGCACCGCGAAGCATCAGTTTTGGATATCGGGAGCATTTTCAGACAGTATCGGTGCATCCCTAGTGATAACCACAAGAAAGGCCACCTTACAGGTAAGGTCAAAGGAATATCTCTGAGAGGTTAGAAGGGAAAATTCTGAGGAGTTGAGAGATCCAGAATGGGACACCAAAGTCAACTTCTTACCCTTCAAAAGGGTAGGGATGACCAAATCTGTAAGGCTCCTGCCTTTAAAGCCAGCAAATGAGAAGATGGAACGCTGGCCAGTGGGAAAGGGGGTTAAACAGATCCCAAACCCAATGTAAAAATTAGAGGCTTCTGGACCTATCATGACAAATCTGGCTAGTTTGTTGTTGAATCTAGATGCCAGGAGATCCACCCCTGATGTTCCCCACCTGTGGCAAAGGGTTTAAAAGATCTTCGGATAACCTATTCCCCCAGATCCAGACTCTTACAAGTGAGAAAGTCTGCCTCCCAATTTTCCATGCCTGGCACGTCAGCTGTGACTAGATCCAGAATGTGCAGTTCTGCCCAAGAGAGCATCAAGTCTGTTTCTTTCAAAGTGGCATGACTTCTGGTGCCTGCTTTATGACTGCCTTTATGGCACTGGATTGTTAGGTGACATCACATTAAACGAGTCCTGTGTTGTAGGAACAACCCAATCTTGCCAAGTTCCAGAATACTGATGAGACGTTGAGCTTCCTCAGATGATCAAGTTCCCTGTACCGGGCCTTTGAACATCAGATTACCCTTCATGGAGGCCATGAAGGTCTGGTTAAAGTAAAATCTGGCTATAGAAATTACCATTTCCTAAGGAAACTTTCCTCATTACGATAGTTAGCCAAAACATGTTTTTATTTTGGGGGGAGGGGGGGGAATCTTCGGAGAGGCCAAACTCCACATATGACAAGCTTAACCAAACACATGAGCCAGAAAGGTCTAAGCTTGCGCAGGAACCTCTAAAACACCCATACTAGAAACAATTGGGGAACCAGACTCAGGTTACTTCAATAGGAAACAAAGCATACAGCTTCAATAAGAACAGCAATAGAGTCCCTGGATTTCAGAGAGATTTCTGCAGCAGGCTTTTCATCTTGATCAGCT